TGTTTGTAAAGCGCTTTGAGATCCTGTAATAAAACTGTTCCCGGTGCGGAGCTCTGGTGCGTTTCATGCTTCTGGACCTTTTTTCCTGCAAAATCTCTTCTGTCGTCATACTACTAACAGCAGACGTGGAGCAGTTGGTGGAATGGGAAAGCCAACTTCACTGGGGGAACCTGGGCATTCCCCAAGCGCTTTGGTTTTTAATTTCTGGTTCTCCTCCGCAGCAGCCAGTGCTGCTCGCTGTCTTTGGGGGAGTATCATGTTCTCCGATTGACGTAATGGACTTAACAAATAGAGGAATTAAATTAATATCTCAGAAACGTGCTATAAACCGGTTTTGATAGTGCTGGGAGAGGTTAGGTGGAGGAGTCTGTGCCTTCTGACACTCTCAGTTTTTAATTGCACCACATCTCTATGAGTTCGTTAACTTTGTTACTGAGCTGGTTGGGAGTGACCTGAGCGGTGGGAGCTGTCGCTCCTGCCAGGTGCAGCCCGGGGAGCCCCGCGCCACCTCCTGCCCCTTTGGCTTCTGGGGCTGTGCATGAAAATGAACCGGAGTCAGCAATGCCTTAACTTCCCCCTGGGGAATGCTGGCTTCCAGGCACGCACCTCGCGAGTCGTCCGCTTGCCCAGCTCTGGCTGTTAGGTAAAACTCGCTTAAATTTATTGTAATGTCTCACATAAATTAGTGGAAGCAGGTTCGGCTGGAAGGCAGCAGTCAGACCACGTTAGCCGTTCTGCCGGCCCTTGTTCCAGGAACAGATTTTGTAGGATTTAAACAGATCAAAACCGAGGCACCGAGTGTCATTTTTGTGAACGTGTTTTTCCCAAAACTCAATGTTTTAAGAGTCCACTGGCTCCGAAGAAAATGGAAAGGGCTAGTGATTGGAAGATGGAAAACCTTTTGTTGAGGAGGAGGGGGCAACCTGACTTAACCCTCTTTCCTAAACCAGTTTTTCCACTCAAGGACAGAAGCGGGTGAGTTTCTCATCGGGTTGCGCGTCCCCGGTGGAACTGGGCAGGTGTGTGGTGTTACCTCCCCGGCGCCCGGCAGCTCTCTGCCGTTCGTGCGCGGGGAATCTGCCTTTTCAGAGGCTCCTGCGCTTCCCATAGTGCCGCTTTGTTGGCACACTGAGGGCAATTGTCCGCCCCGGGGCTGTGTGGCCCCTCTGTCCTGTCCTCGGCCGGCGCAGCTGCCCGGCGGCGCACAGCACCATACTGCCTCCATTGTGCAAACCGTTGGGGAAATGCAGCGGGGAGGGAGCGAATCCGTCTGTAATCGCTCATCGTACTGATAGCGGAGTACTTAATAAAACTAACGTTAGCGCTGAAATAAAAATGGCTAGAAAACCTGTGGTTTCTCCTCGAAACCACAGTTTGGGTTTTTTGTTGTTGTTTGTTTTGGTCTTTTTTTTTTTTTTTTTAACAGAAACTTCTGCTTTAGAAGAGCAGACTCATTCATCGATCTGTTCGCATTCGTCGTAGCCGGAGATTTCTTCCTCCTGATAACAGCAGATAGTTTTTAGCTGTACAGCAAAATTATAGTCATTTCTGGATTGGCTAAAAATAGCTACAGCTTTGGTAGGAGTCCACTATGCCGAGTGCAAGATAATCCTCGCTGCACCTGCACAGTGAAGAGCCGTTTATCTTGAAATGCAGTTGAAGCTGTTTCAAATAGCTGAATTTAAAGGAAAGAAAAAAAACAAAAACCCAACACCAACACATTCCGGGAAGTTCCCTGTGTAACGAATATTCCCTAAAAATCCCTTTCCTGCACGCCTGAAGAAGGCGAGTGAGTCAGACTGCAGAGCCTGACGTACCCACCGGCACTGTGCGCTTTGTCTGGCCCTGGCAGCGCCGCGGGACGGGCACGGAGCCTCGCCTGGCCCCGCGTCGGTGCGGGGGTCCGGGCTCAGCCTGCTGCTCATCCCCTCCCAACCGGAGGGCTGCGCGCGTGTGCAACAGTTGTAGGGCTATTAACATCATTTTATGCACTAATTTGTGTAATCATTAAAGAGTTGAGAAGGGCATTGTTCACATGAGTAATTACCTCTGTATTCTAATAGCTCTAATTCATCCCTTAAGTGAGTTTCATATTTCTATGAGTCAGATAACGATTCACGCTTCGGGTATAATATTTTTTTTTTTTAAAAAATACTCATTTCTTGCATGACTTGGTTGCGCTCCATGAAGCTGATGACGTGATGGATCCTGACGAGCTTAGACCACTCAGATGTCTACCTGGGAAGATTTGCCAGCGTGGACCCGGTGCTGGGCTGGCTCCCGTGGCGGGGATGGTGCAGAGTATTTTTTTACCCGCTGGGATGCCGAGAGGCTGTGGAAAGCAGCTGCCTCCAGCACGCCAGCGGAAATTTAGAAATGAAAAACTTGGCAGTTTGCTGAACTCTTGGGTATTTTCCTTCTGACAAAGGGCAGGTCTGTATTTTTCTAGTGATTTTTCCTTTTTTTTTTTTTTTTTTTGGATAGTTTTAAACTTGGGAAAAACTACTTCTGCGCTCGGCTCTGC